TTAGAATGGGAAGTGAGAAAATGAAGTGGGAGGGAAACATTATATAAGTTAGCAATCAGGGGTGGAAAAAATAGGCGAGCACGCGAGCACTGCTCGCAGGAAATGTTAAACAGCTGTAGGAAATCGTTTGAATGAAGATTTACTATTGAAAATTTGAATGAAACCTTAACGGCCATGTCCCACTATGGGCGCAACAACATATGGTTGACAGACATTATTCCTTGAATTTGAGACCATGATCAGCTAGAACACTATATGTTTATGCACATGCAGATTTAGTACAAAAATACTCCGTTGGTCTGCAGGAAATTTTTGTCTCTATGTTACATGGCTCCCAAGAAGAAAATTATTTTTTCCTGCCCTGTTAGCAATACACCCTAGCTTCTGGAAAATTCAGCCTTGCATGGCTATAGAGCCTTGTTCCCGAGATTGAGGTACTTTGTCTCTGGCCAGACCTGGAAATAGTGGTGTGATCCTGATAACAGTGTTTTCAAAGAAAATATTTCCCCCTGGCCTAGGATCCAAGAAAGGCTAGAATTATTTCCAAGTCTGTCTCTGGCAACACATTTACGAAACCATACATATATATTAGATAATACAGAGTTCAGATTTGACTTCCACTACCACAGAGGGACCATTAGCCAATCAGATGCATTTGAGCTATCGGATTAACCAATCAGATTCATACTATAAGCCAGTGGCAATAAGGAAATGAAACATAAGAAACAACAGAAGTAAGAAAAGGGAAAAGATAGGAACAAACAGACATCATTAAAATGCACCAGCTCATTATAAAAGCTCTTTAAAATCCTGACATTTTTACAGTATTTAGCTGCATTTAATCAGCACATAATTCCAGGAAGCTTAAAAAATCACTACAGCTGATCTGGCTTTCTACATAAAATATGATCCTTACTTGCTAATTCCCTTGAAAACACTTGCATAAGAGCCTTCGCCCAACAATTCCAATTTATGATAATTAATCATTTTGCCAAATGGAGATTCAGGCTACAGAAACCATTCAGAAAATTAACATAACAATAACCAAATAAAGCAATTAAGCAAAATGCACTCAACTGTGGTTTGAGACTGAAAGTTTGTTTGCTCAGCTTTGCAAACCCAAACAAACAATATGCACTTAAGAATAATTAATTATTAATAATAATTTAATTAACTTAATGTTTTTGGAATTGTTTGCATCTTAGGATGAATAGATAAAAACATTGTCTATATCTTGTGTGGTCTGTGTGGAGCTTCAATGTCTGTAACAAGCACTTGAAGGATTTAATTAGTTTGGCAAGTTTTGCATTGTTTCCTATTACTTGTTGTTAAAACTTTATTGCAAAAAGTTAGGTATTAACTAAAGGCACAATATGTTGGGGGTTTTTTCTTTGTAACTTAACTTTTTTTTATAAATACTCATGCATGACAATACGATATTCTACAGTATGTCAATTACGGCAGCACATATTGATGGCACAAGCATTTGTTAAATGTCATATCGTCTTTGAAATACACAGGTTATACCAGTTGTTTTACTTTATATAACTAGTACAAAATGTCACGCTACAAATTTCCTCCAAACTCTTTGCAAACTGACTTCAGATAAAAAGATCTAAGCCAAGGGTCACTGAAACCAGAAACCCAGATATCTGTATTTTTTCCTCATTGAACATGATTGCAGCCAATCAGCTGCTGTACTTATATAATATAATGTGCCAATCATCAAAGCATGGTAGGCTATAAATTAAGCAAAATATTACATGAAATTTAAGGAAAAAAACTTGTGGGCAGCCTAATTCGTATGTATATATAAACTTACAGGACTTGTGAAAGAGACTGATCTAGGGCGTGGTTGTCCATCATCTGGATTTTCGGAATACGTTCGTCTCAGTCTCTCGCGCGTTCTCACAGGCAAGAAGTCTGGTTGAGGTGTTTGGAGAGAGGTAATGTCTGAATGGACACGACGGACAGCCGTCTTTTTGACAGGAGCAGTTTGTGATGGTGGTTCAACATGTGGAAAAACTGAATCAATATGGTCATCCTATAGGATAATCATAGTTACATTGACTAATTCGTAAATAATTAAATATGGTTCCTCTTGACAATTAGTAAAATTGTCTGATGTTAGACAGAGTAACATAACAAAGTAGCTGGTGCACAAGAAAAATTGGGTTAGAGTTGATTTCACATAACGTTTTCCTAAATGTTCCAAACTTCATTTTGAATTTTCGGAATTTATTACTAAATTAATAATAATATATCACAAACCGGTTTGTAAACAAAGCCTCTGATTGGTTCTTGAGTTAAACAAAGTTATTATATAGGTTCTTGAGTTATGCTCAGTTTATGAATCGGTTTGCAAATTTTATTATGAACTTTTGAACTAAATTCACAATGACTTTGTGAACTTCCAAATGATGGCTACAGGTTGTGTCTTAAGTGGAAGGCTGTGCAGGCTAGCACACAGATCAGTATATAATGTCAAGCGAAACCTATGCTATGTAACTTATGTTATCATGAATTGCAACGATGACCAGAACGATACATGGTTTCCTTCTCAATCATAAACTTTGCATTGTTGTAGCAAATCCCCTCAGAAGTCAGAAGATTGTCTCAGAGCCTGATATAACATTCAAAATATGTCCGATCAAAATGAAATTTGATCAAAAACTTTCAAATTTGCCGGACATTTTTTCATGCTTTCATTGGGTAAATTAATCCTTTGATGGCAATGTGCCCAGATGTGCCCCACTTTGATTATTATTTTACTCTGTCTTAAATGCCAGACAATTTTATTCGTCAGGGGGGAGAGTGCTGCCACTCAATGGGTTAATCAGACTATCTGTCTATGCACCCTGTTAACCCTTTAAGTGGCAATGCACCCCATTTTATTACTTTACTCTGTCAAATGCCAGACGATTTTACTCGTCAGGAGGAGAGTGCCTATACCACTCAATGGTTTAATCCAATACATAAATAATACTTTATGGCAAACACTAGCCAGTATAATTAAATCTTTTGTATTTAATGTTGTTTGGGGGATGGTTGGATGCAGCTTATGGTCATGGTTAACCCAGTCTTTCAAAAAGGTTGATAGCTATTTTTTGTCCAGAGAAAATGTCTGACCAATGGGTCGTTCCAGAAAAGATCCACACTCCCCCGACGGAGGGAATTTCTGCTGTCCGGAGGGGGAGGGGAGAAAAAATTGTTTCTGATAATAGTAAGTGTATTAGGACAGCCGAAGGGGGGTAGGGGGTTAACTTCCTATTTCCTCCATGGGGGTGGTATGGATGTTTTCTGGAATGACCCAAATTAGTATTTGGTCAGAAAACTGTGATTTGGTCAGAAAATGCCCAACTGTTATTTCAGGCTCTGTTGTCTATGTACTGATAGATGTCTCAAACAAGTGATCTCAGAATGACTAACGTCACGTCTCAGTCCAGTGGGTTCTTGGCATTCAGTGCAGTCTTCAAAAAGCATTTCCTATTGCCTATTCCTGTTAGCCTACCTAAATTAGGCTTTGAATATTTTCTATCATAAAGCAGGTGACGACAGACTTTTCCTCGAAAAGTCATATCTGTTTTGGTCATAATTATTTAGGCTTGGGGAATCTATCAAGATTTCTAATCAACAGCTGAAAGTATAATTGCACTTCTGCTGTTATCAGTCAATTTATCATCTTCATGTAAATTATACCCTGTTCAAGAGTTTGCGATTTTAAAGTCATATGAAAAACTCCAAAACCCTTGATTGCCTCAATTTTGTAATATCATCTAAAAACCGCAAAAGGCATTTTATTCAATTGTCTGGCTTTACTGTAAAACGATAACCCACTTACTTGAAAGGTTTGCTCTTTTCCCAAAGCTATAGGCAATGCTAAAATATAAGCAAATATATCGCAAATTAATATTTGTTCTGCCCATCAACGCTCATTCTAAACAGAGAAATTCAATCAGAAAAAATGTGATGAATACCAAACGAATACTCATAAAAACACATCAACACTTTGTGTCAACACCTAAATATTAACAGACGGACATAAAACAAATCATTTTTAGAATGTCAGAATGACATACACAAACGTAATCCCTCGGACAATCTTCGTCTTAACTTTTTAATTTTGGAATCCGAACGCTTCCTGACCGAGGCGGTTTCATTTATCCCTACAAAAACACAGAAAACAAAGCATTCAGGATTAACTAGTTAGGCTAAAACCCACGCTAAATTAAATTTGAAGTACTTTTAAACCATCTTTTTAAATAACTTGTGCACAAAGACACCGTATGGCGTACCATGTTCATTTGTATCTTTTTCAAAAACAGTAATTTCGTCCTCGGCAGCCTTCCCAGAATGAGTAGGTGACATGGCCATTTTACTAATATTCTTCCCACTAATACAGCACCAAAACACTATATGCCAGTTTATTAAAACAATTATCCAAAATGTGGAAAATAACAACAGTAAACGGTTTCAATATACTTTTCCGGCCGACGTTCTTGTTAATGCATAAGCTGAAATATATGCAGACGGTTCTAAAAGCAGCAACAAATATTCAAAATTTTAAGTTTTATTTAGTTCTCTGAGTAGAATGTTAAATCATTAATACTCTTTCTGTTTTCCAATTCTAGTATTGCAGATACAATATATGCTGAGCTTCTTTTATAAATAGTCAGGTCACTTCCGCCATTTTGAACCACGTTTTGTTTACTTCGAACAGGAAAGATTAGTATAAATTTTCCAATAATTTGCATAATTTTGCAAACCACATGTGGCAATGTTTTCAATATTCATTAATTAAACGCTTTTACTGTATACATGTATGCATTTGTATATTTTCTGTTTACTATTTTCTTTAATAATGAAAGCAATTACAGTAAAAGGAAGGAAAGGGGGGAAATGAGCAAAATGGAATATGGATAGGATTTGATAGGATCGGTGTGGATCCGATGAAATAGAGAGGGATATCTAATGGATTTGGTAGGATTGACATGGGGAACAAGGGATAGGTAGGGATTTGAGGACAGCCCATTGGATTGGAAGGGATATGAAGGGATGAATAAGTAGGAGTTAAGATGGATTTGAAGGGATTGGTGGGGATATGAAATTATTAGAATGGGTAAACAGGGATCTTGAGGGAAATGGCATGGATTAGAATAGATATAAAGGGATTTAGTAGGTTTGGGATGGATAAAGGAGGGATATAAAAGGACTTGAGGGAATCGTGTTGGATTGAAAGGGATGTCGAGAAATTTAATGGGATCGCAGTGGGTTTGATGTGATCAAAAGGGATTTTTAATTAAGGAATCGAATAATCTGAGCGTATGAAGGATTAAAATAAATTAGAAGGATTCGGATGGAATGGAGAACGCAAATAAAGATTCTTACAATTTATGAAATAGTTTAAAATGAGCGATGAAGTAAGTGAGAGAAAATTTGGAAACATATTGTTTTCAAAAGCAAATATTTATGAAGTGTAGGCATAGACAAGGCAAAATAAACTTCGTGAAATTGACGTGTGTAATTAAATTAATCCAACAGGATAAGGCATCAATTATTACTTTCTTTCACTGTCACTATAAAGGTAGCGTTTTAATATCTAGAATCACACGTGCTTATAAATTAAAGGTGGCATAAAGCCATAGCTTAGGGCATTATAATATATGCACAATATAACAATTCTAACCTCTCGACCCAAGTATGTCTGACAGTAGCATAAAATACGACTTTGAAAAATGTGGAATTTAATCATTTAATAACTTATCACGGACACGGGTTAAAAAATCAAATGTTCGTCACGAATAATCCTTTAGGCTTAATAAAACTATAAAGTTTCAAGAGAAAAATTGAACGACCACAACAAAATATATCCCACACACACGACATATAAACTTAGACTCAACGTTTACCTTCATTTTTAGACAATACAAGTTCTTCCTTCGAATGGCAAATTTCGTTGATAGTTTCCATTGAGTATCACGGAGTAATAAAATATAATTTAAGTTAAATTACATCAAGGTTTTTGCCGAACAAACCATTTAAAATATAAACACTCGTTATATATCGAGTTCAAGTGCAGTTTCCGGTTTGTAAAAGATATTTTCAATATTTTGTCACATACATCATTCGTTCACGCACTCGAAAGTTCACACCTTGTGATTATTTTGGCTGTAAAATTGACAAAATGCTTTTCTAGTAACAATTTTAAATCGGCTTTAGAATCTTTTGTCTTTTGAGATTAATGAGGTTTAATGCATGTATAAAATACACATAATTCTATACGAATTATATCATGTATTTTTGCTGGCAATAGCAGTATAAACGCATACATGTCAAGTCTAGGGGCTCCAATTTTGGGACTCGATGTCTCGATCTTCAGCTCTCTAGCCGGTTTACAACCCCCCCGCCCTAGCCTGCGTGGCAGGCGGTTTTTCTACGGGTAGCAAAAATTAGGGAGGCAAAGGTTCCTTCGCCTCGCTAAAAACCGCCTGCCACGCAGGCTACCCCCCCCCCCAACTTTTCTTCAGGACCAATTTTGTAATTCTTCTGCAACTGAAACGGGGGGCGTAGCCTCGTAATGCTTTCATCTATGACCAATCTGTGTCTCTCAGATTATCATAAAACGTGTCCAAAATGCTTAAACGCATGAAATAGCCTACGTTTCACAGACCTTAAAAATAGAAAATGGAATACTAAATTGTATTCCTGTTGGGGTGGGCTGGAGTTATGCCCATAGACATAAGATGTGCACGTTATATGTCATGTTCTCACCCATTTTTAATTCTGTATTATTCGATATTTATTTTGTATTAGAATTTATATTTTACAGCGTGAATATATTGGATTGTCACGTACGACCACCTCTTTTTTATAATATCGGATAATTGAATTATTGTGACGTTTGTAGTAGAAATAACCCACGCATTAGCCAATCAGGATGAAGCGACATACAAGTAACTAACAGTACTTTAATAACAGCACTACCACCAACGGTAGCCTGGGTCAGTGTCACAGCTTTGCCCTTTGATGACAGACTAGATTATTACATACACAGTGGCTTATATTTCGGTTCAGCATACAACTTGTGAGCTATGGCGTTTGACCGTAGGGTTTCGTCGCTTGTGTTGGGTGCTCGTTTGCTTATATTCGTCGTGTTTCTGCCGATAGTGGCCTCACATCCTCGGTGTCAGACTCTTACAATCGAAGCTTGTAAAGGATTGAATTATAACCGAACTTTATTTCCGAATTTTGAAAACCATCGGGACAGGCTGATTCGCTGGTTAATCACTTCAAACCACTTTTCAAGGTAAAATGCTCGCCCGATTTGAAGTATTTTATATGTACCTATTACGCGCCCGTGTGCAATGCTTTGGGCAAACTTATCAAGCCTTGTAAATCGCTCTGCGAAAACGCTCGCAACGATTGTCGTCATGTCATGTCACGATTTGGGTATGTGTGGCCTTCTCAGCTTGATTGTAATACATTCCCTAATCCAAAGGATGAAATATGTGTCGGACGAAATAACTCTACAACGACTCCGACACGTCCGAAAAAGACTATCGTATCACTGCCGATAGTGGCTTCACAACATCGATGTCAGACGCTTACAATCAACGCTTGTAAAGGATTGAGTTATAGCCGAACTTTATTTCCGAATTTTGAAAACCATCGAACACAAGGACAGGCTGATGCGCTGGTTAATCACTTCAAACCACTTTTCAAGGTAAAATGCTCACCCGATTTGAAATATTTTATATGTACCTATTACGCGCCCGTGTGCAATCCTTTGGGAAAACTTATCAAGCCTTGTAAATCGCTCTGCGAAACCGCTCGCAACGATTGTCGTCATGTCATGTCACGATTTGGGTATGCGTGGCCTTCTCAGCTTGATTGTAATAAATTCCCTAATCCAAAGGATGGAATATTTGTCGGCCGGGCAGTCGAACGAAATAACTCTACAACGACTCCGACACGTCCGAAAAAGACTATCGTATCACTGCCAATAGTGGCTTCACAACATCGATGTCAGACGCTTAGAATCAACGCTTGTAAAGGATTGAGTTATAGCCGAACTTTATTTCCGAATTTTGAAAACCATCGAAGACAAAGACAAGCTGGTGCGCTGGTTAATCACTTCAAACCACTTTTCAAGGTAAAATGCTCGCCCGATTTGAAGTATTTTATATGTACCTATTACGCGCCCGTGTGTAATCCTTTGGGAAAACTTATCAAGCCTTGTAAATCGCTCTGCGAAACCGCTCGCAACGATTGTCGTCATGTCATGTCACGATTTGGGTATGTGTGGCCTTCTCAGCTTGATTGTAATAAATTCCCTAATCCAAAGGATGAAATATGTGTCGGACGAAATAACTCTACAACGACTCCGACACGTCCGAAAAAGACTATCGTATCACTGCCGATAGTGGCTTCACAACCTCGGTGTCAGACTCTTACAATCGAAGCTTGTAAAGGATTGAGTTATAGCCGAACTTTATTTCCGAATTTTGAAAACCATCGAACACAAGGACAGGCTGGTGCGCTGGTTAATCACTTCAAACCACTTTTCAAGGTAAAATGCTCACCCGATTTGAAGTATTTTATATGTACCTATTACGCGCCCGTGTGCAATCCTTTGGGCAAACTTATCAAGCCTTGTAAATCGCTCTGCGAAAACGCTCGCAACGATTGTCGTCATGTCATGTCACGATTTGGGTATGTGTGGCCTTCTCAGCTTGATTGTAATACATTCCCTAATCCAAAGGATGGAATATGTGTCGGACGAAATAACTCTACAACGACTCCGACACGTCCGAAAAAGACTATCGTATCACTGCCGATAGTGGCTTCACAACCTCGGTGTCAGACTCTTACAATCGAAGCTTGTAAAGGATTGAATTATAACCGAACTTTATTTCCGAATTTTGAAAACCATCGAACACAAGGACAGGCTGATTCGCTGGTTAATCACTTCAAACCACTTTTCAAGGTAAAATGCTCGCCCGATTTGAAGTATTTTATATGTACCTATTACGCGCCCGTGTGCAATGCTTTGGGCAAACTTATCAAGCCTTGTAAATCGCTCTGCGAAAACGCTCGCAACGATTGTCGTCATGTCATGTCACGATTTGGGTATGTGTGGCCTTCTCAGCTTGATTGTAATACATTCCCTAATCCAAAGGATGAAATATGTGTCGGACGAAATAACTCTACAACGACTCCGACACGTCCGAAAAAGACTATCGTATCACTGCCGATAGTGGCTTCACAACATCGATGTCAGACGCTTACAATCAACGCTTGTAAAGGATTGAGTTATAGCCGAACTTTATTTCCGAATTTTGAAAACCATCGAACACAAGGACAGGCTGGTGCGCTGGTTAATCACTTCAAACCACTTTTCAAGGTAAAATGCTCACCCGATTTGAAGTATTTTATATGTACCTATTACGCGCCCGTGTGCAATCCTTTGGGCAAACTTATCAAGCCTTGTAAATCGCTCTGCGAAAACGCTCGCAACGATTGTCGTCATGTCATGTCACGATTTGGGTATGTGTGGCCTTCTCAGCTTGATTGTAATACATTCCCTAATCCAAAGGATGAAATATGTGTCGGACGAAATAACTCTACAACGACTCCGACACGTCCGAAAAAGACTATCGTATCACTGCCGATAGTGGCTTCACAACATCGATGTCAGACGCTTACAATCAACGCTTGTAAAGGATTGAGTTATAGCCGAACTTTATTTCCGAATTTTGAAAACCATCGAACACAAGGACAGGCTGATGCGCTGGTTAATCACTTCAAACCACTTTTCAAGGTAAAATGCTCACCCGATTTGAAATATTTTATATGTACCTATTACGCGCCCGTGTGCAATCCTTTGGGAAAACTTATCAAGCCTTGTAAATCGCTCTGCGAAACCGCTCGCAACGATTGTCGTCATGTCATGTCACGATTTGGGTATGCGTGGCCTTCTCAGCTTGATTGTAATAAATTCCCTAATCCAAAGGATGGAATATTTGTCGGCCGGGCAGTCGAACGAAATAACTCTACAACGACTCCGACACGTCCGAAAAAGACTATCGTATCACTGCCAATAGTGGCTTCACAACATCGATGTCAGACGCTTAGAATCAACGCTTGTAAAGGATTGAGTTATAGCCGAACTTTATTTCCGAATTTTGAAAACCATCGAAGACAAAGACAAGCTGGTGCGCTGGTTAATCACTTCAAACCACTTTTCAAGGTAAAATGCTCGCCCGATTTGAAGTATTTTATATGTACCTATTACGCGCCCGTGTGTAATCCTTTGGGAAAACTTATCAAGCCTTGTAAATCGCTCTGCGAAACCGCTCGCAACGATTGTCGTCATGTCATGTCACGATTTGGGTATGTGTGGCCTTCTCAGCTTGATTGTAATAAATTCCCTAATCCAAAGGATGAAATATGTGTCGGACGAAATAACTCTACAACGACTCCGACACGTCCGAAAAAGACTATCGTATCACTGCCAATAGTGGCTTCACAACATCGATGTCAGACGCTTACAATCAACGCTTGTAAAGGATTGAGTTATAGCCGAACTTTATTTCCGAATTTTGAAAACCATCGAACACAAGGACAGGCTGGTGCGCTGGTTAATCACTTCAAACCACTTTTCAAGGTAAAATGCTCACCCGATTTGAAGTATTTTATATGTACCTATTACGCGCCCGTGTGCAATCCTTTGGGCAAACTTATCAAGCCTTGTAAATCGCTCTGCGAAAACGCTCGCAACGATTGTCGTCATGTCATGTCACGATTTGGGTATGTGTGGCCTTCTCAGCTTGATTGTAATAAATTCCCTAATCCAAAGGATGGAATATGTGTCGGACGAAATAACTCTACAACGACTCCGACACGTCCGAAAAAGACTATCGTATCACTGCCGATAGTGGCTTCACAACCTCGGTGTCAGACTCTTACAATCGAAGCTTGTAAAGGATTGAATTATAACCGAACTTTATTTCCGAATTTTGAAAACCATCGAACACAAAGACAGGCTGATGCGCTGGTTAATCACTTCAAACCACTTTTCAAGGTAAAATGCTCACCCGATTTGAAGTATTTTATATGTACCTATTACGCGCCCGTGTGCAATCCTTTGGGCAAACTTATCAAGCCTTGTAAATCGCTCTGCGAAAACGCTCGCAACGATTGTCGTCATGTCATGTCACGATTTGGGTATGTGTGGCCTTCTCAGCTTGATTGTAATAAATTCCCTAATCCAAAGGATGGAATATGTGTCGGACGAAATAACTCTACAACGACTCCGACACGTCCGAAAAAGACTATCGTATCACTGCCGATAGTGGCTTCACAACCTCGGTGTCAGACTCTTACAATCGAAGCTTGTAAAGGATTGAATTATAACCGAACTTTATTTCCGAATTTTGAAAATCATCGAACACAAAGACAGGCTGATGCGCTGGTTAATCACTTCAAACCACTTTTCAAGGTAAAATGCTCACCCGATTTGAAGTATTTTATATGTACCTATTACGCGCCCGTGTGCAATGCTTTGGGGAGACTTATCAAGCCTTGCAAATCGCTCTGCGAAACCGCTCGAAACGATTGTCGTCATGTCATGTCACGATTTGGGTATGCGTGGCCTTCGCAGCTTGATTGTAATAAATTCCCTGATATAAAACAACAAATATGTGTCGGGCGAAATAACTCCAGAACGACTCCGGCACGTCCGAAGACGACTCGTCCGACATGAACAGTGCGACAAAAATTGTAGGAGTCGCGGCGGTGAACAAGAATTGTTACCAGTTAACGTGTGCAAGAAGCTTATGATTTTGAATTGAGTTCAACTGTGCAGAATTCTTTCATCATGACAGTAATTTGACAGTAATTTTTTTAGTTTTTCATTAGATTTTGACAATTTTTACAATTAGCAATTAGGTTTTATTAAGTGTGTCGAAAGAGAAATTAGACGATATGTCATATAACGAAGCTGCTGGAAATTAATAATTTAACCCTCGAAGCAATTGTAGTAGAAATAACTAAACTGATAGATATGAAAATAAAGTTGTAAATACAATCAAGTGCACAATTTGTACTGAAAATGTACATGATGATTGTATCTCACGAAAATTTTCATTTCCTTTACTCTGGTCTACGACTACATGGTTTAGAAATTCTCTACGGGTTCTCTATATACCTTTGCGTTGTGTGTATGGAGCAAACTAGGATATTTTTAATAACTATAAAGATCTGTGTGCTTGAAAAAAAAACTTGATAATACTAACACTGACAATATTTGTTCCAGCAACCAAGACGGTCCAGATGTTTGGCTGGATATGTTTCTGAATTATAGCGAGTTTGTTAATTAAAGAACATTTTAATTAGAAAAATCATTCGGTTAAGGAAAAATCTCTCTCTCTCTCTTCTCTTATTGCAGTAAATGGTGGAACACCCTCTCAGTCAGGGTTCCAAATGGCATTTTGCTTAAGCTTGGAATTCAGTGTTTAGAAAATCAATAGCCTAATTTTCCTACATTTTCAAGTACCACCTGAAATTTGTTGGGAGGGACTCGGGAGATGCAATTGAATTATTGATACATATGTTTTGACATGTATTATACCTGTACAGTAGTCCAATTAATTCGTACATTTTAATCCCATTGACCAGTATTGATAGCAATTGGCATGGCACAATATATCTCTTTCTCAATGACTGTACCGATGAAAATTATAATTGATGACAACCACGTACAATACACACTACAATTTTTAGCATCCCTGGTATTGGTAATAACTTTACATAAATTTCCATTTTTTCCTAGTATATCTAATTTAAAACTAAAAGGTATCAAGACTTTTCTATTTTATACTAATTTTCAGTTTAATTAATTAAACCAAAATTTAACACTTTGCAGGTTAGTCTTTGTTTTTAAGAGTTTTTAATGTCGAACTTTCTCTCACGATATCGTAGCCGACAAATCTTGCTCTTTTAGTTTTACAATGAACACTTTCTCAATTCATTTCCCGATTACATGGAGCATTTCCGCCCCCCCCCCCCGGGGTTGAACTCAGCTCTGTTGACCGGGTTGAAATTTCAGCCCTGTCGGTAATACAAAAACTCTATCAAAATCAAACGCGCGGCGGGCTATTACATGACAAAATTTTCAACCCAGGGCTGAGTTCAACCCCGAGGTTGAAATTTCAAACCCTCCAATTGACCAAACCTCGGTCCAAAAAAAGTATTATTGCACGCTGATGGCGTCAGCAACTGAAATAACGCGTCGGCTTCAAGACACCGTGAATTATCCGACGCGTTTTAACCTATCGCGAACGACATGGGCGTACCGGAAGGAAAAAATTAGGGGGGCGGAAAGAAAATTGCCCGACTTTTCGAATTCTGCCCGACTAATATCAAAAAAATTTTTCCGGAAAAATTATTTTGGCGACCCCCCCCCCCGTCGCCAAAAAAAATTCGGTCAGTGTACCATTTTAGGGGTCAAAAAATTTTTCCGGACAACCAATTTTTTTCGGAACATAACACAAATTTTCGAAAAATCGCAAAATTTGCCAAAAAATTGACTTAATTTTAGACAAAATTGACTTAATTTTAGACAAAATTGACAGAATTTGTCCCATTTTTTTTATTGCAAGCCAAAATTGCCCGACTGTTGATCGAATATTGCCCGACTGCCCAAAAAACTGGGGGGGCTACCGCCCCCCCGCCCGGTACGCCTATGGCGAACGAGAATCGACTTTGAATATATAATAATCACATTTATTTGTTTTTGAAAGCCATGTGAATCAATATGTCTTTAATAGGGCCGCAGTACTGCTTGTAACAGATAAAATCTGATGCCTTTTACAGAGCTATTAGTATTAATTACGTTCCCCGCCATACTATGAATTGTTGCTAAAGAAATAATCTTATTAATAAAAGCCCGAAAAATAAATTAACCTGATTACAAAATGCGTATAGGCTGGCGAGTTTCCAGATTGAATGACCCTCCCAATTTTTTGTGTGAATGCATGAGTGTTTACATAAAAATGATAAAGAATTTCGCTTATAAATTAGAGAGCTTCCTAAAATCGGATGTTTACTCTCGCCCACATGGCATAATTATTGGAAGATATCACTCAGAGCGGAAAAAACCGGGCAAAGTATAATTAATGTTGCAGCTGTCGTAATAATAAAAATAGTTATTTTAAAATGTGGAACTTCGATTTGTGTTTTTGAAAACTGAAGTGCGGTTTGATGGTTTGATAAACCTACAATGGACTTTATTTCTTCTGGACAGTTCTATCGTTCTAGTAATTCTAGAGGTTCAATTAAATGAGGAACGTATCCCTTAATCGGTTCCAAAGTCTGCAAAACGCTACCTCGTTCTGTAATATTTCAAACCGCATAGGACTGGACTAGATTTGAAGTCCGCGCAATTTGATCAAGTAATCCCATCCCATACGAATAAATCAGGGTCATCATCTACCTATACTACTATTCAGCCTCGTGGTTGGTTGATTATAACAATGAAAGACAATGCAACTATAGAAATCGTCTTTCTAAAGAACGAGTCACGAACAATGATCATTTTTGTTTCTGTGAAAGCCAATCACAAAACATGAGCATTTTAGGTAGGTCTTAATAAAAATAGTTATTTTAAAATGTGGAACTTCGATTTGTGTTTTTGAGACTGACTGAAGTGCGGTTTGATAAACCTACAATGGACTTTATTTCTTCTGGACAGTTCTATCGTTCTAGTAATTCTATAGGTTCAATGAAATACGAGGGACGTTTCCCGTCCCTTATAATCGGTTCCAAAGTCTGCAAAACGCTACCTCACGCATTTTAGATACGTTCTGTAATATTTCAAATCCGACTATGAGGACTGGACTAGACTTCAAGTCCGCGCAATTTGATCAAATCCGAGGCGAAGCCGAGGACTGGATCAAAATGCGAGAACTTGAAATCTAGTTCGAATTCTGACTCGTCCCCAGTCGTCTCTGCGGAAGGAAAGGTAGCAAGGTCTTTCAAGCGCGGGCGGGCGGAAGCAGGAAAAAGATGCAGGCGGCGCAGCGAAAGACGAGAAAGACTAGACGACTGGCAGATCTTATGTTGAAACTCTGGATTTTCAGTCGAAACTCTGGTAGAGGCTGTTTTCTGCGGGAGGGGGTTTGTTAAACCATCTGCATGCCCTTGCTAACCCTTGCTAACTTTTCTTCCGCACGCGCTTGAAACACAGAGACGACTGGGGACGGAGGATTTGAGGATTTTAAATGACATCCCATACGAATTAATAAATCAGGGTCATCATCTACCTATGCTATCCACTGTATCCAGCCTCGTGGTTGGTTGATTATAACAATGAAAGACAATAAAACTCTGTGAAAGTCAATCACAAAAGATGAGCATTTTAGGCAGGTCTTTACCCATAAATCACCACTTAATGTGAGGTGAATTAATTTTGATCCAGTCCAAGGATTGCATTAATTTTGATCCAGTCCAAGGATTAATTTTGATCCAGTCCAAGGATTAATTTTGATCCAGTCCAAGGATTAATTTTGATCCAGTCCAAGGATTAATTTTGATCCAGTCCAAGGACTGGATCAATATACGTACTTCACCAGGTATCCAGTATTATCATGCGAGCAAACTAAACTGGCAATATGTATGATAATCAGAGAACCATAGTAGAAATACATATTTTCCAGACAGAAAAGTGTTCAACTATATTATTTATTTAGCCACCAAATACAAGAATACTATACATACAGCTAATGAAATTAATCGATCAATGACTAATTAACCAGGCATCCAAGGGCGTAGACACAGGGAGGACTGGGTGCTCCCACCCCACCCTACATTTTCCAGGACCAATTATGTAATTTTTTCAAAACTGAAGAGAAACTTGGGGAGGGGGGCAACCTTGTAATGCTTTCATCTATGACATGAAATATACCAAACCTGTGGCTTTCGGATTATCATAAAACGTGTCTAAAATGCATGAAATAGCGTTTCGAAGACCATACTAGAAACACTTTCTGAGGGTAAGCCATGGCAACTTTTGCTGCGATTTTTAGTGCGACTTTCTTCTACTCGGGGACGCCGGAACTGGGGGGCAGGAGGGGCAGCCTCCCCCGTTGCCCTTTACCAGGAGGGGCAAGGGGGGGAAAGGTGCCCTTTCAATTTAAAGGATTGCCCTTGGCGAAATAGCGAATTGACAGAAATGTTAATGCAATTCTTTTACGAATTTGCTTCAGAAAACACAGGAAATGCAGTCATCGAGCTTCAAGAACAGCACAATCGCCTGGCGGAGAACCCCCTCACACCCCTATCATCCAATAAATAGAAAACATGTTTAGGCGAAGTTCAACTCCCGATGTTTTGCAAACATCTCTTAGTATATATATATATATATATATATATATATATATATATATATATATATATATATATATATATATATATATATATATATATATATATATATATATATATATATATATCAATTCAAAAGTGCCCTTTCACGAAAATTTCCCCCACCCCTTGCCTTCACATCGTTCCGGCGTCCCTACTTCTACTGATGTAGTCCAGCGGATATGCACATATATTTGAGAAAATCATGCACTTTGTGAAGAAAGCACCAAATTCACAGGAAGTGTAGGCTTTAATATGATAATGAATCTTAGATATGGAGGCATCACCAAAATTGATGCTGACGGCTTAACTTAATTTAGGATTTCTTATATTCTCTTAATAATCTCTTATACAATTAAAAATTGTGAAATTGCAGGTTCACATATAGCAAAAATGACATGCGTCATTAGAAAGCTTACAAAAAAACTGCATATAAGACATTTAAGCAATTACTTTGATTTTCCAGCTCCTCTGGAGTTATGAGCGGTTGAAAAATGAAAATATGTTTTAGGGCTAGTGTTCAGGACTTTGGCGGGATTTTTGCCTATTTATCACATTTTTAAATAGCGATAACTGGAAAACCGCTTGGAAAATCAATCAGCCGTTTAAAAGTCTTATATGTAGTTTTTTGTAAGCTTTCTAATCATGCAAGTCATTCTTGCTATACAGTGAACCT